CTCAAAAAAGTAAAAATAGAACTGCCATATGATTCAGCAATACCACTCCAAGGGATATAGCTAAAGGAATGTAAATAAGGTTACAATAAAGGCATCTGCATGTTGATTATAACATTATTCATAATAAGTAAGCTATGGAAATAGCCAAGATACTCTACTACTAATGAATGGATTAAGAAAATATGGTATTTATACACAATGGAATTTTATTTAACTATAAAGAAGAATAACATTCTGTTGTTCCCAGGTAAATGGATGGAACTGGTGAACATAATCTTTAGTTAAGTTAACCAGGTTCAGAAAGCCAAAAGCCTCATTTTCCCTCATATGGGGAATATAGACCTAATACAAATACAAGCAATATTATGACAAATAGTTCATGTTAAAGGGAGGTCATATATGAGGGAGACAGGATAAAAGAAGGAAGTTAGAAGGTGAATATGTTTGATGTACTTCTTATACAAGAATAAATATAGAAATTTTAAACCTGTTGAAATCATCATAAGAAAGGGACGAAGGTAGAAAAAAGAAAAATAGAGATGAACCTGTTTATAATACACATATACATGGAAATTTTATGAGGAAACCCCCTGTGTAACTATCTTAAAGAAACAAAAATAGTACTTTTTGTTTTACAAAATCAGAGAACAAGAGGGCAGAAAAGGACATCCTGAATCCCTAGCCCATGGAAAGCCTCCCCACACCAGGCACTGAGAAAATTTGGTGCCATTTCTCACCACTGCCACCTCCAAACCTGCATGTGTGTCAATGAACAGAACAGAGTATCCTTCCCTGCTACCCACTCACCACCTGCTGACCAACCTACTATACCAACTTTACATAACTCCAACCCCCTGCATTCCCTGACACAAGCACCCTACACTATAACAACAGAAATACGCCCAAATGTACACAAGGTCCACAAAACTCACCAGCCCCCACACCACTTACCCACTCACCCACCGCACTTCCCACTTCCCCTTTAAGTGCCACCCTAGACAATTCCCCAAATTTCTATTGCTAGCCTAACAGATGTTAACCCCCCCAACTCCTACTGTTTATAGATATTATCACCAAAGGGTCTTCTATATAAGATGCAAACAACTGGTTGGGTATTGAACCTGTCACTTAGTTATTGCTAAATTACACCTCCAGACCAGGAGCAGGAATAGCACACTAACCTAGCTAACAGCCAAGACAGCCACAACACAAAAATTAAATCAAGGGGAAGAAAAACAGGTGACCAAAACCAACAAATATTCTGATGTCTACAGAATGTTTCTGTCTAACATCTGCACAATACACATTCTTCTCAGCAGCCCGTGGAGCTTTCTCAAAAATTGATCATATCTTAGGGCACAAAGCAAGTCTCAGCAAATATAAGAAAACAGAAATAATCCCCTGCATTCTACCTGATCACAATGCATTAAAACTAGAATTCAACAACACAAACAACAGCTGAATAACACATTACTCAATGATCAGTGGATCATAGATGAAATAAAAAAGGAATAAAAATGTTCCTGGAAGTTAATGATAATAAAAACATGACATACCAGAACCTATGTGGCACAGCAAAGGCAGTCCTAAGAGGAAAGTTTATAACCATGAGTGTGTATATTAAAAGGACAGAAAGATCACAAATAAGTGATATAATACTACATCTCAAACTCTTAGAAAAGCAAGAACAAGCAAAACCCAAATCAAACAGAAGGAGAGAAATAATAAAAATAAGGGCCAAAATTAATGAAATAGACACCCAAAAAAAAAATACAAAGTATTAATGAAACAGAAAGCTGGTTCTTTGAAAAAAATAAACAAGATTGACAAACCTCTGGAAAATCTGGCTTAAATGAGGAAGGAAAAGACCCACAGCAGTAAAATCAGAAACATAAAAGGAGAGATAACCAAACAAGGAAATCCAAGGAATCATAAGAGATTTGAGAACCTATATTCTAATAAATTGAAAATCTTGAAGAAATGGACAAATTTCTAGGTACTTATGACCATCCAAAACTAAACCAAGAGGATATTAACCACTTAAACAGATCTATAACATGAAATGAAATCGATGCATCAATAAAGCATCTCCCAAAAAAGAAAAGTCCAGGATTCTCACCTGAGCTCTACCAGACCTTTAAAGAAGAACTAACACCAACTCTCCTTAAACTATTCCACAAAATAGAAAGGGAAGGAACACTCCCTAACTTATTCTATGAAGCCAGTATTACACTCATCCCACAGTATTGCTACATCCCAGTGTTATTCATCCCACAACCAGACAAAGACATATCCAAAAAGAAGAACTATGGGAAAATCTCCTTAATGAAGATCGATGCAAAAATCCTCAATAAATTAATGGCAAACAGAATCCAACAACATGTCAGAAAGATCATTCAGTGATCAAGTCGGCTTCATCTCAGGGATGCAGGGGTGGTTCAACATATGCAAATGAATAAATGTAATACAGCACATTATTTGAAGTAAAGACAAAACCCACTTGATCATCTCAATAGATGTAGAGAAAGCCTTTGATAAGATTCAACAGTACTTCATGATACAAACTTTAATAAAACTAGGAATAGAAGGAATGTACCTCAGTATTATAAAGGCTATAAATGAAAAACATATAGTCAACATCATACTTAATGGAGAAAACCTGAAACCATTTCCCCTAAAATCAGTAACAAGACAAGGGTGCCCACTCTCCTCACTCCTATTCAACATAGTCCTGGAATTCCTAGCCAGAGCGATAAGGCAGGAAGAAGTAATAAAAGGAACACAAATAGGTAAAGAAACTGTCAAAGTATCCCTATTTACAGATGACATGATCCTTAAAGACCCCAAAAAAACTATATCCCAAAACTCCTAGACAACATAAACAGCTTCAGCAATGTAGCAGGATACAAAATCAAATTACAAAAATCAGTAGCCTTTCTATACACTAACAATAAACACATTGAGAAAGAATATATGAAAACAATATACAATAGCCTCAAAAAAATCAAATACCTAGGATTAAACTTAACAAAGGATGTGAATGGGAATTAAGTGGGAAAGGGAAGGAAACCTAAAACTTGAAAGTGTTTGATATATCCACTGTAGAGGAGCTAATAAAGAAATCTTATAGTGACAGAGGTCACTATGGGAAGGTGACTAGGGAGTAGTGAAGAGGTCTGGTACAGATGAAAAAATTCAGATTGTAATACTCATGTGCATGTAAGCAATGCTAGGAATCTCTCTGTATAGCTATATTTATCTCAAGCTAGCAAAAATGCTGTCTTTCTTATTATGTCTTATGTTTTCTCTTCATCAAAATTGGAGAAGAGGGAAGAACATGTTCTGCCTGGAAGTGAGGGCATTGAGCGGGGAGGGAGATGGGTTGGGGGTCAGTGGGGAGTTGGTCCAAACAATGTATACACATAAGAATAAATGAATAAACAACAAAAAAGAGGGCAGGAAAGTTCCTGTCTAGGGGGATGGTACCAGTGGGAAGGGGAAGAGATGTGGAAAGGGTATAAAAGGGTAAATATGCTGCAAATACTATGTACACATATTTGTAAATAGAAAAATGATATCTGTTGAAACTATTCTAGGAATGGGGGGAGAGGGGATAAAAAGAATGATGGAAGGGGAGAGTTCAACTATGAAATATTTGGTATGTATTAAGAATGTAAATGTCACAATGTACCCCCATCAGAACAATAAAAATAAATGCAAATAATGAGAAAAAGTAACAATTTTTAGAACTTGTGTAATTATATGCAATGAAATCTTATCTTGTTTTCTATATAATTTTAATTACCTAAAAATTAAATGTTACATATTTATTTATTAAAAGGTTGTAAAAAGACCACATTATTTTTTCATAATGTCCATTGTCTTTGGATTATATCATAAATTTAAAGGTATGCATATGAAAATCCCAATCTGGTTTTTAGCAATTATTTAAATGACATAATATTTGTATATATTTATGGGGTAAAGTACAATAATTCAATACATGTATTCAAATTATTGTAGTTAAATCAGGGAAATTAACAGTTCTCTTTCTTCCAACATTTATTATTTTTATGCATTGGGGAGCTTTGGAATCCTCCTTTCCAGTTCTGTTTACATATATAATAAATTACTGTAGGCTGCATTTACTCAATTGTGTTGTAGAAAACTAAAACTAATGCCTTCTATCTAACTGTGTTTTGGTACCTGTAATCTAATCTCTCCTTGTTCTCCCTCCCTCCACTCTTCCTAGTCTCTACTCTCCACTTCTGTAAAGTCACTATTCTGCAAATGAGTGAAAATATTCATTATTTGTCTTTCCATGCCTGGAAGATGTCATTTAAAAGTATGTTCAATAGTGGTCTTGAAAATTAACAAATGTTTCTAGATTATAGGATAATAAATTATTAAGAAAAGCTGCATTTATGGAAGAAAAAAGTAAAAAAACATGATTTCATTAAGTACATAATTCATATTATAGAGCTAAAATAATTAAAGTGTTGTATAACAACAAGAGTAATTAATAGTAATATAAATGAAACATTAAGTACCTTAAAATACTCAAAATGCTCAGTCAAACTGATAATTTCGGTTGTATTTCGTTAGTAAAATCTTCCAGGAAAAAAACAAGTTAATATCCAGGTAGCATAGATCAAAATGGAACAATGATGAAGAATACATGCTTCCAGTTTAAGGAAATAATATATTGTTGAGCACATTAACTCTGTTGATGTACTCCTTAGAATTCAATCCAGTTGTTTGGTTTGACTATTATGAGAACATTATTAAGTTACTCAACTTCAATGTGCTTAGGTCCTCATCTGTAAAATAGGGACAATAAGAATACTATTTTGATTATTGTCTGAATTCATACAAACAATTTAAAAAGTGCTGGACCCTATTAGATGAGAGATACTACTATTGTTGCTAGTCTGACAGTAATGCAGGAAAACACAGGATGGCAAAGGAATAATAAACAGAGAAGTGATTCAATAGTTTACCTGATGATGCAAACTCTGTGATGACACAAAATACATTGGAGAGATTTGGTCTGAAATATCAAGGTTTGGAAATCAACGCTTACTTCAGTAGAACCTATGCTCAGTGTCCATCAAATTATTCATTTTTCTTCCTGGAAATAGAGGAAGTTATATTTCCCTGTAATCAGACATTAAGAGATTGTTTTTTTTTGTTTTGTTTTGTTTTTTCATTTTTCTTTTATTATTCATATGTGCATACAAGGCTTGGGTCATTTCTCCCCCCTGCCCCCACCCCCTCCCTTAGCACCCTCTCCACCCCCTCCCGCTCCCCCCTCAATACCCAGCAGAAACTATTTTGCCCTTATTCTCTAATTTTGTTGTAGAGAGAGTATAAGCAATAATAGGAAGGAAACAAGGTTTTTGCTGGTTGAGATAAGGATAGCTATACAGGGCATTGACTCACATTGATTTCCTGCTGGTGGTGTTACCTTCTAGGTTAATTCTTTTGATCTAACCTTTTCTCTAGTTCCTGTCCCCTTTCCTATTGGCCTCAGTTGCTTTAAGGTATCTGCTTTAGTTTCTCTGCATTAAGGGCAACAAATGCTAGCTAGTTTTTTAGGTGTCTTACCTATCCTCACCCTCCTTGTGTGCTCTCGCTTTTATCATGTGCTCATAGTCCAATCCCCTTGTTGTGTTTGCCCTTGATCTAATGTCCACATATGAGGGAGAACATACGATTTTTGGTCTTTTGGGCCAGGCTAACCTCACTCAGAATGATGTTCTCCAATTCCATCCATTTACCAGCGAATGATAACATTTCGTTCTTCTCATGGCTGCATAAGAATTCCATTGTGTATAGATACCACATTTTCTTAATCCATTCGTCAGTGCTGGGCATCTTGGCTGTTTCCATAACTTGGCTATTGTGAATAGTGCCGCAATAAACATGGTGTGCAGGTGCCTCTGGAGTAACAGTCTTTGGGTATATCCCCAAGAGTGGTATTGCTGGATCAAATGGTAGATCGATGTCCAGCTTTTTAAGTAGCCTCCAAATTTTTTTCCAGAGTGGTTGTACTAGTCTACATTCCCACCAACAGTGTAAGAGGTTCCTTTTTCCCCCATCCTCGCCAACACCTGTTTTGGTGGTGTTGCTCGATGATGCTATTCTAACAGGGGTGAGGTGGAATCTTAGTGTTTTAATTTGCATTTCCTTTATTGCTAAGATGGTGAGCATTTTTTCATGTTGTTTTCTGGCCATTTGAATTTCTTCTTTCTTGAGAAAGTTCTGTTAGTTCACATTGCCCATTTCTTTATTGTTCATGAGCCTATACTTAAAGACCCAAAAAAACTCTACTCAGAGCTCTAGACTCATTCATAAGCTATTAGCAAGGTAGCAGGATATAAAATCAAATAGAAAAATCATTACATTCTAACTTCTAACAATACAAACGGAAAAAAGAAGTATTGAAAACAATTCCATTTACAATAGCCTAAAACAAAATCAAATACCTAGGTGTAAAACCTAACAAAAGATGTGAAAGACCTCTACAAGGAAAACTATACACTTCTGAAAAAGAGATTGAGAAACTATAGAAAGTGGAGAGATCTCCCATGCTCATGGATTGTAGAATCACACATAGTAAAAATGTTGATACTCCCCAAAGTAATCTACATGTTAATGCAACTTTCCCATCAAAATTCAATGACATTCATTAAAGAGATTGAAAAATCTACTGTTAAATTATTATATGAAACACAAGAGCCACGAATAGCCAAGGCAATATCAGTCAAAGAACAATGCAGGAGGTATCACAATAACCTACTTCAAAACTATATTACAAAGCAAATAACAAAAAACAGCATGGTACTGCACAAAAACAACATGAAGACCAGTGGAACAGAATAGAGATCCAGAATGAAGCCACCAAACTATGAGCAACTTATCTTTGACAAAGGAATAAATATACGATGGAGACAATAGCACCTTTCAACAAAAAACTGCTGGGAAAACTGGTTAGCAGTCTGCAAAAACTGAAACTAATCCCATGTATATCACCCTATACCAAGATTAACTCAAGGATCTTAATAATCAGCCCCCAAAACTCTTAATGATACAAGAAAGCGAGTAGGAAATTTTACTCTGAGTTCAGTAGTATAGGTAACTTTTCTCATGAACCCAGCAGCACCAGCAACTAAGAGAT